TTAAATTCATGCTGCTTTTCTTTTCTGAAGAGTGCGCTGCTTCCTTTTTCCTGCAAAATTTACATCCATTGGCTATGATTTGGATCTGAAATTATCATATGTTGGAATAGAGGTAGTAAAGGTCCTGCGGCTCACACTTTTCACTAATCATACATCCCATAATCTGGGTATGAACAAGAGTACATTGACTGCTAAAGGTAATGGAACAACAAAGGGACTGAGTGACTTGTTTTGTTAAATCATTCAAAACAAGGTAATGGAACAACTCCTTTAATTTGGCCGTGGTTTCGATGCCAATGGTAAGGGACACTATGGGTGGTGATAAGATATTGGAAATACAAATGAACAAATGTATGTTACTTGTTATGTAGTTTGAGGTTCCTAAATCACGAATCTAGGTCCCTGGAAACAAAGAATGACTCAAGCATCTAATTGAGATAACAATATATGCAAGAAAGATGGTAAACAAAAAGATACTTAACCGCGTTATATTTCATACACACATTATTCAGTAGCGTACTCCTAAAGGTGCTTTACGGTTTTTGTTCTTTTAGGAGAACATTTTGATGAATTCGACTTCAAGAACAGATTTGGGCTATAGAAAATCGAAAAAATGGCTTTTCTATTTTTCTCGTTACTGATTGGGCATTAACGTGTTGATGCAGATAAACAACTTAGGCAAACCTTGCATTCTAGTCGCAAGTTGGACATGCTAAAACTTATTCCTAATAAGTATATCTTAGAAAAAAGGATATCTTAGCTAGCTAGAAGTCAAAAAAAAAATACGAGTACTTATATGTGAAAATTTGACCGATTTAGACTCTTAGGTTCTTATGTACATTAAAATGAAATTGTCTTCCCTAGTCTTAAAGACTAGGTGCCATCACGACTCCTGAGGAGAGATTTTGGGTCGTGACACTCAGATCTGAAATTATAAAATTATGATATCCAAATAACTCAAATACAATAACAATAACTAAACCTCAATATCAATCAATCTAGATATGGCATCTGCTAAATGCCAGAAGTGAAGTTGCGAGACAGGGTTGGTAGCCTGGTATGTGGCGGGTCAAAGGGAGATAAACCTTTGCATTATGTGAATAAAGGTGGAACCTTAGAATCAAATAATGTCCTCTCCATATTGGCTTCATTTTGACCTAGTATGTTTTTTTTTTGTCTTTTGTGAAACCAAAAAGGGAGGATACAATAATTTTCACAGAACACAAATTAAACGTGATTATTGATGATCATTCCTTTTTTACAACAGATGAACTTATATCAAAGAGAAAGACGCCTTTCAAAATGGAGCAATTCTACATTTCAATTTGATATTTTCTTCCCATCATTGGTACTGCAAGGAGATATGCAACCACCAATTTTGATTGTGGTAATCAACTCAAAACAAAGATAGTATAGAAAATGTATTTATTTGAAGATATTTGTGTTAGTTTTCGTGAAAATCCATTTGCTTTTCATTTCAGAAAACGTTTAGTATTTAAAAAATAGAATCTTTTGTGAGAGAATTAAGTATTGAAGATACTTGTTTAAACCTCTGTGATTTCGTCTATAGATATAGGTTTAATTCATCGAACTACACTCCGTAAATATCTATTTTCTTGCAAGGTGATATTTGCCCTATTGATTTCTGTTTAGTACGATGTGTTGAAAATAATGTTTTTCTCTTTTCTTTTTGAATAGTACGTATTCACATGTCAAGAATGTTTTTGCATTTTTATCTGTGGATTTACTTGGCAAGAGAAACTTTATGGTTCAAAATTCTACTAATTTTAACTTTAATTTTACTAGGAGTTTAAGCATATTATGGTGTTGATCAAATGTAAGATAGGATGAATGAAATCAGCGTGTAGAAGTTAAGGATACAAGTCCAAATCAAATTAATAAAATTCAAAGTAACTCAAGAGAATCCATAAAATGGCCAAAATATGTCATGAAAAATAAAAAGGAACACTACATAATAAGTTCTAGTAAAACCAATGGAATGAAGGATCAAATAAAGATGGTGATGAAGTATAAACTCCATTTTGATCAGCCAATAAGTTAGCAAAATATTCAACTTGTTGTTGTCCTTGAAGTGGTGACTGAGCTTTGAGTAATTCAATTTCAGCTTGTACTTTAGTCAATTCGCATTGTAATTGGTAGATTTCTTCATGTAAAATAGTAATGATCCCAACACAACCGTAAACTGGATCCTTTATTCTGCAATATGCCTCATAGTACAACGTGTCTGCTACATCCCCTCGTTGATGCTCTTGTACTTGCTGTTATAAAATAAAATTAAAAGAAATTAGTTTCTTTAATTCTTTGACATATTTTAGCACACATAAGTTCAACTAGGAACTCGTATCTTTCCGAATCCAAAAGCTGGATACATAGACATGCAAATAATCCTCGCTAACTATGGTTTGAAGTGTGAAATACTACTCTTTCCACCTCAAAAGAATACGGTTTAAACTATGGGATGAAACCATTTTAATTATGGGTCTCAATTCATAACATTATAACATTATGGAGATAGTAATCAATACGAATAAATAAGTTAATAACTACTTCTCTATGTGGTTATCTTAATTTATTGTCACTTATCATTGAAGGAGCAAGAGAAAGAAAGATCCAAACATTTTAACTAACCTAAATAAATGACTGCCGAAACATATTTACACAGATATTATGAAGCACTGAATGAGAAAAGAATATACAAAATAATATCTTGTCTGTACAAATATACTTAAAACGTATTTAATTCAAGCAAGAGAATAAACAAAGATTCTTATAGGAATATGATATGGTACTTACCTGGAGCATCTTTCCAACATTGCTAGCACCATAGATGCTATGAACACAAGAAAATTTTTGTGGATTATTTGGAGGAAAATATGGTAAAAAGATACAATCCGAAGGACATCTAATTGCTTGCAAGCTGCACAACGAGTGGAAGTCATTTTCTTTCAAAGAAGATTTTGTTTGTCTAAAAGAAAATATTGTGAAAATCTTTTGTTTGTGAAGAAGAAAATGTAAGCAAAGATCTTAGTTGCTTAATACCTCAATTAAGATTCAAGAGTGTATTTAAATGAAACTATTAACGGCTAGCTTTTTAAAAATTTGGTATTGTAAGGAAAGTTACCAGTACTACAAATTAGCCATTCACTGATTGGAGCTAAAATTGGCCAAAGTTTTCTAATTACTTTTTCTGCTTTTTATGTGCATGCATTCAAAATTTAGAGGAGGAGATGTAATAAAAGTTATTATGCGCTTTGTATTTAAAGAAATCATCCAAATTGTGTGAAACAATCTGCTTTATGAAGAAAAAAAAGAAGGAAACAGAAAAATAAGAAAAGCCCATAATTTTTTTTTATTTAATTTAAACTTCAGCTTTGGGTGACCATGTGAGATTTCTCTCCCTTATGTAATGGAAAAAGTTGCATGACTCTCACTGTCGATTGTTATTAATCCCTTTCCCAATGTCCTTGTCCTATGTAAAATGTAAAAGAATTTCTAAGAAATGAAATCGTGTTTTACTTATATCAAAAGGTCAAATACTAACCAACTGGAGGTAACGTACCAGAAAACTAGATACGCATTAACACGAGCACAAATAATTAATGAAGTTAATTAGGACATAGTGATACAGCTAGAGCAACCTAGGAAGGTGTCTTCATTAATAATGATGCAATACTTTAAGGGTCGTTTGACAGGAGGTATTAGGAAAAATAATGCAATCATTAGCTTTGTGCATTACTAATACCTTGTTTGGTACATTTTTTAAACCTATGTATAACTAATACATTAGTTATACATCATATTTGGTATTAACCTATGTATAAGTAAGGCATAGAAAACCTTGACATTAGTAATACCAAGGCTATTAATGCATGCATTAGTATGGTTAAAAACAAAATTGTCCTTAGAGTCCCTTAAAGCTAGAGAATATGGAGGGCATTTTTGTAAATAACTATTTTTCTTAAAAATTATGCAATGCATTATAATTTTTAATACACCACACCAAACAGTTTATAAGAGATAATATCTGCATAACTAATGCTTGCATTACAAACCCATGCATTACTAATACACTGTATTCTGCACTATTCTTATACACCCTACCAAACGACCCCTAAATGTTCAGCCATATTCAAAAGACTATCTAATTCCTTAATTTGTCAAAAACAATCATATGAATTTTTGTTGTTTCTTTAAGACTCTAACTAGGAGCTCATTCATCTAGAATCCATAAACTTTTGCTACTGCTAATTTTACGTGTTTCAATTAGGCCTCGCAGGCAAACAAAATACTCCCACCGTTCACTTTTACGTATCCAGTATTCTAAAAATAATAAATTTTCACCTCTATATTTGTCACTTCTAGCATATCAAGAGATGACATTTTTCTCTTTTCCTGTTATACCGACAATATTCATTACTCATTTCAAATCATTTTCTCAAATCCATTAAAAATATGCATCAATTAATATGAGTATCATGGTAAATTATACACTTCATTTATTATTTCGTAAGAAGTGTGCAAAGTTCATAGTGGACGTGTAAAAGTGAACGGAGGGAGTATTTACTTTATAAGGCAATATAAAGTAAATATTTTGTTAGCCTGCGAGGTTTAATGGAAACATGTAAGATTAGCAGTAGCAAAATTCTTGACAAATACCTAACCTAATATAAATATAACTAGCTAAATCGTAAGAGCAATACACTATAGGCTATCAGATAATTATTCTATAAACTTGGAAAAGACCATAAAAATATAGATACGACAGTTTCATGCCTTAAAATGTACAACTTTTTTTATTTTTCTTGTGTATGATTAATGTGAACTTTGTTTATCACTTGACTGTAGAGCTTCCTCGAAAGACCAGAAAAAGTATTTTGCAGAACTCTGTTGCAGGAATGTCAAACAAGAACCCACTTCCCCTTGAATTACTAATTGGTAGTGGGAAAAGAAAAACTGTTAAAGAGACATACAACACGACATATGGGCAAAAGATAAGAGAGTTTATACATACATAGCTTTAAAATCGTACATCAGTCTGTTCAGGAGTATATTGAGCACAGATAGAAAGAAAGTTTAAACACAAATTAGCCAAGCAAAAACACAGCCATATATCAAATGGGACTTGGTGACGACACCAATGCTTCTTCCAATATACATAAACTTCATTTTTTTTTTACAATGATTACACCCTATGCAAACTCACAACAGGCCATGGTGAAACTCCAGGTGCTGGCAGCTGCGGCCGAATCACAGGAACCCGCTTCACAACAGAAAATGCTTCATTAAGGCGTGCAGCACGGCTCATGAATTGAGATACCTTCTGCACACAATGAAGAAACTTAATCAACACACAGACAAGGATTCGATAGTGAGAAGAAAGAGTGCTGGTCCAAGGCAAAGGACGGATTTAAGGACTTGATCCGATGATTCCCTATAATATTCACACAACAGAAGTACAAATTTTTTTGAAAACGTTTCAAGTCAAAAACATCAAAATCTGTTCGAGACACAAAGCATGAACACTGTTTGGTTATTCCAAGTTTTACAGCTGTTTAAGGTTGGATAGTTCTATAGGACACTTCAGAAGGGGGTTTAAAAATTCAGTTTCCATAGTTACACATGTCAAAGAGCATGTACTTCTGGTAACATCTATAGCCTGTTTGGCCAAGCTTCTTCATGGCCAAAAACACTTTTTTCCCAAGCACTTTTGAGAAAAAAAAAAAGCAGCTTCTCCCAAAAACACTTTTTTGAAAAGCACTTTTGAGAAAAATACACTTAAAAATATTTTTCAAAAGCGTGGCCAAATACTAATTGCTGCTCGGAATTGCTTTTCAAATTAATTAGCCAAATACAAACTGTTTCTCATCAAAAGTACTTCTGAGAAAAAACACTTCTCAAAATAAGCTGATTTTAGAATCTTGGCCAAACAGGCTATTTGGCAACATGCAGAATTGAGCAAAAGGTATACAAAATCCATAAACTAAATAAAAATGAAACCAAACTTGACGTTAAGCCTGAAAAGATAGCATTTGACGGTGCCGATGCCAACGAAGTAGACACCATCTGCACCAAATGAAAATGTCTCGAGTCGTTGGTTTATTTTCTCTCTTCTTTTCCTTCTCTTTTCTCCTTTTATTTTTTTCTTTGCTGGTGGAATTTAAAGCAAAATCATCATGTGAAACAATTTACAACAGAAGACTAAAATAATGTTAAAGGAGCACTAGTAGAAGTAATGAAGCAGCAGTCGTTTAATCCAAGGTAGACTCACAAAGTGCCTTAACAATACCGGTGTCTATTTAGCAACTTCTATTACAGAGTGGCTTCCAAGCTGTGGTCCCTTGTATCCTCTTTGTTTACATTTCACAAGTGCTAATAAGGACCGTGGCGGAAGCTGGAAGCAGCAGAAGTTGGAGAACAAACTGAAGGTATAGATTTACCCACCCACTCCCATAAAAGAAAAGAAAAAACAACTTATTCATGATTGAGACTTTCGAAACACTTACTATAGGGGTATTGATAAACAACACTTGTGCTGTCTTCATTATCTAATACAACTGTAACACAAGGCTTATCTTTCCCAGGAATGTTAGGGTGTATTTTATAGCACAGACTATTAAATTTGGTAGTTACATCTCCATCCATGAGGAACCATTTGTTTATTCTCTATCTTATTGAAACAACTTCAATATAATTAGCGATTTTGGGTTTCTCCAGCTATGTGACTATGACTTGCTCCATAAATAAATCACAAGAGATATCAAGGCCGAGCTAGAATAAACAAGTTGCCTTGTTATTTCAAGCTAGATAAAGCACTTCACTCGCTAAAGAAGAAACAGCAATCATAATTACTGAAATGTCAAGAGGTACAAGAAACGAACTGCTAAATGATACAGGGCAACAGAATTCTAAAGGCATTATCAGCCTATAGTCCTATACCATTGCTCTATCCCACATCCTATATTTTCAAGATACACAGCACTCTGGAACAAAATTCAATATAAAATTTTGAACATGATGCAAGTGACGACCCAAAAAATCAAATAAATGCCAAAGTTTGAAGCCTTATTGGCCAGGAAGAATCAATTGTTCTTCCCATAACTAAAAATGTTAAATGAAAAGAAAATGAAATGGCACATCTAAGCATACACTATAAGACATCCAAGCAATGATGACACAAACTAATTACCGATTCCTATGATTCTGTCTTGCATATAGACAGGGCCATCCACAATACAATATCACTACACTCACGAGGATTTGAATAGAAGAAAATGATCTTACAAAGATCTCCTTTATGATCTTACAAATATCTCCTTGGTATTATTTACTGATCTCCTGTGTTATATTTTACTAATTCCTGTGAAACGGGTCATATAACTATATTAACGGGTCATATAACTATAATAACATTTGTAAGCCATAAGACTGATCTCCCCTACACTCGCTAAAGAGTATACTGAAGTGTCATGATCCCTAGGGCCCCATTATTTTCCAATTCGAGTTTTAATCTCCCTCTTCTTCAAGTATCTACCATGAAAAAAGCTCAGCCCTTTAACAAAAATAACTATGTAACGTTATCAATTCCTCATTTTGCTTAACTATTAGATATTTCAAAAGCATAACACATGAATCAACATTCTTTCATTTATTTAATATGTTTTGGATAAAGAGGATGAAGAAACAAACTACTCAAGCTTAAGGTTAGCACCTATAGTGTGGAAAAAACAATGTTACTAACATAATGGTATCGAAATGGGCAAAGTAACACTGACCTTATCATCGACAGTAACTTTGAGCTCCAAACTCTTAGTCTTCTTCTTCATCTTGTACAGTCTACGACCTAATATCACAAACCCCATAACAGCAGCAGCTACGGAGAAGGCCCACATAGGCCTAACCCTGAACACACAATACTTGAGAAGCTCCAATGGCACCTTCCACCACACCAAACTCCTCTTCTCTTCTCCTCCTTTACTAGCTTCAATTTCATCCCTCTTTTGACTTTCAACCCTCTCATTTTCGTCCTTTTGTTCTACACAAGCCTCTGACCTCTCTTCAACATCCCCAAATTTCACATCACCAATTCCATCTCCACCAGTATCAGACCAAAATTCCCCAAGATTTTTCTCATTTTCACTACGTATATCTTCATTTTCCCCATTTTCACTACTTATATCTTCGATTCCTCCAAAACCCACTTCCAATTTCGAGTTTCCCACAACAGCCACCTCAAGATTTTTCCCATTTTCACTACTTATATCTTCGATTCCTCCTAAAGCCACTTCCAATTTCGAGTCTTCCACAACACCCACCTCAAGATTTTTCCCATTTTCACTACTTATATCTCCAATTCCTCCAGAACCCACTTGTAATTTCGAGTTTTCAAACACACCCACATCATTTTTCCCGTCAAATTCCCCAAATTGCCGATCCTCAGACCTTTCACTACCAGAGTCAATCCAGGTCGGATTATCCGATTCCTCAGAACCGTTAAAAGCAGCAAAAGTAGGAGTACTGTGAGAATCTATGGAGAAATAATTGGGTTGAATAAGACCCTTGGTTTCTTCGACGAAAGTATCCTCCTGGTTTTGGGGTAAGTTAACGGGGAGAACGGAATCTGAAGCTGAGTTGGGGTGGAGCAACTCCCAATCTTGAAATTCGGTATCCATGGTTTGTTGTTTGATCAGGAAACCCTAGATATGAGATTAGGACAAAAGAGAGGAGGAGCAAGTTTTGAATGGCATCAACTACTTTTTGGATTGGTGGGTTACCACAGATACCCACAACTTGCAATGTAGTTTCCAGTTTCCCATCAGATGAGATGAGACTGAGACCCNAGACACCAAATCTAAGACAAGTTGGATACATAATAATATGTTCAGAATATCGCTTATACAAACGTAAAAAATATATATTATATATTTTAATATTATATATTTTAATATAGAGTACTTATTATATATCAAATTTATCTTTAACCAACATGTTATCCTAATGAAAATGCAATAATAATATAGCTACGCTTTAACCCCAATAAGTCATGTGAATTGTATGAACTTCACTTACCACAATACTTTATTTAAACTCATCTCTAGTCAATATTATATAAATATGTGTATCTCAATCACAATGTTAAGACTAAAATATTTTCTGAAAAATTTCCCTATTATTTCTTTTCTTCAATTTTTTTCCTTTCTAAATACTTTGTTGCAGTTCCTTTTTTTTTCCTTCTCTCGATTCTTATTGTTCTATTTAGGTCGCACCCCTTCTCCAAATATCAAAAATTGAAATAGCTTTTACACAAGCTTGCATTCATTTCATTGTAATATACGACCACTAAATAAGGGCCGACGCTTTACAAGTGCCGAGTCTGCCGACTTAGATCAAATATCACATCAAATGCGAAACAAGAAAAAAAGATGTTGACAATAAAGCTGAATTAGAAAGATGAAAGTGCCAAAATTAATAGCCTAAAAGCTAGGTAAATAAGCTAATATGGTATGTGCTATTTCCCTCTCGCCTTTCTTTGGTTCGTGCTTTATTATCATCATTGACGTATTTTACATTGATGATATTAGTTTTTTAATTACAATTCGACTTACATGTCAATTTTAAACTCAAACTATAAATAAAGGCACCAAAGCTCGGAGCCTTTATGTTGGTCCAAAATTAATGATTGATTTATATTATTTTCAAGAGATTGCTATCTAATATATAT